GTGGAGGGTCAGTGAAAAAGAGGAAGAGCCCTAGTGAGATGGATCGGCTCCGCTGGCAGCAGCAACAATTGTGACTTTGGCGCAGGACCAAGCAGTGTTTCGTTCCATTGTGAAAAAAGTCAATACAAGTTGCTACTGACTCAAGGGTACTTAACAACAATAGGGTTTCTGAGGTTGTAAAGCTTTACCATAGCACTTAACAAACAAACAAATTGCAGCTACTTAGAGGGGAAGTCAAAACTGAAGTATAAATTCTACCATTCTTGTTCTAACCACGCTACTCTGCACTACACCACTGTAACACTGTACTCTGCGGCCAGAGTGCTCCTTGGAGGCCAGGGTGGCCAAATTTCGTCTCTTATATTTCGGACATATTGTCAGGAGGGACCAGTCGTTGGAGAAGGTTATCATATTTGGTAGGGTGGAGGGTCACAGAAAAAGAGGAAGACCCCCAGCGAGATGGATTGGCAGCGGGAATGGGCTGAAGCATGGCAACAATTATGAGGTTGACCCTTGATAGGGCAGTAGTTCATTCTGTTGTGCATAGGGTTGCTATGAATTGGTACTGACTTGATGGCACCTAACAACAACAACAAAACTTTACCACAGAACTTAACAAACAAACAAATTGCAGCTACTTAAAGGGGAAGTCAAAACTGAAGTGTAACTTCTGATATTCTTGTTTTAACCAATGTAAAATATTTTTTTTGTATTAAATAAAATAGTGCTCCCCTTTTGAGCGGATGAAGAGGAATGTTTAAGAAGACTGATGTTTTTGCAAGGGAGGGTAAATGGTAGTGGTGGTAGGGATGGTGTCAGTAGAAAAAGCACAAGTGTTGGCCCTCAATGTTTGTAAATGAGATTTGTTCTAATATATAAAGGTAGACATGGATCTGGAATCCCAATCTAGACTGGTATGGTGGGGACAATAAGCAATCATGTGAGATTCTAGTTTTTAAGGGACTTAGTTCTAACCAGGACTTTACTGCTGTAATAAATAGGAGGCAGAACATGCTCTTAGATTTGGAACTGCGGAGAAGAGATCAGTAAGAAAGCTGGTTTTGACAGCTCGTTGATTTGCCATCTTCTGAGGCCAACTAGAATCTAGGGTGACATCTAGAGAGAGGAAAACCTCTCTCACTGAAAAGGTCAACTCCACTGGAGACCGGCATCATCTTCTTCCTCATCCAGCAGCATTACCCCCTCCACCCAGGCGCACCATCACCTCCGCATCCAAACCTCCTTAGATTCTGAGACCAACCCATCTCAAACGGGGGTGAAGACTAGGGGAAGAGATTAGGAAGATCCTGACTAGGGAATTTTATTGGGAAACTCGCTGAAGAGCTTCTTGGAATGGAAAACCTCACAAATTCGAAGGAGGTCTTAATTGGAGATGTCCAAGTATAAAGGATTCCCTCCCCCATCTCTTGGTTGTATATTTTGGAGTTTTAAGGTTAGGCGACCCTAGATCAGGGGAAGGTTTTTGTATGAGGGAGCTTCAAGAAATTGGAGGCTGGCCCTGTGCCGGGCAGAGGGGATCCGTCTGTGGGACTCTTTCCAATGGGTCCCTAACTCCGCGTCCCTTAATCCTGGCTGCGCCTGGGCCTCGAGGGACCGAGCGAGCGAGCGCGGCTTCCCCGCCCCTCTGGAGAGCCAGGGGCGGGGAGGCGAGGACCCTCCCCTTCGCCCATCCCCTCGGTCTCCGCCTCCTCTCGGGGCGGCCGCCGGGGCACTCGGAGGGACAGCCGGGGGAAGGGAGGCAGAGCCGGGACCGACTGGCGGCGGCGCTCGAGCCCTGTCGGAGCGGGCGGCGGCCGTGGGACCCCGGTGAGCCGAGCCGTGGCGCACGGGCCGAGGCGGCCGCCGAGTGCGAAGCGGAGTGGTCGGGGCCCCTGCGAGCAGCGCCCTGGCTACTTTCCCTTGGGAGTTGTAATCTGTTTTGAGAGCCGGGGTTTCAGGGCGAGTTTTCTCGTGGAGCCGGGGAGGGAGCGCGCGCGGAGGGGGAGGGGGAGCATGCCCGGCTGGAGCCGGGCCTCGGGGCGCGCCCCGGCCGCCGTCCCCACCGCCTCCGCCT